TGAGATGGCCCAGCAGCTGTGGATCGAATGGTATGGTGAACCCAGGAAAGGATCAACATCCAGACTTGATTTGGGTACCAAACGAGGGCACAAGAAGGGTTCTGAAGCTGATTTCTTGGCCAAAAGACGCCGTTTGGATGGACCGGTCAAACTTTTGCCTCATGATGAAGTACGGCTCGAAGCAAGTGCGAATCTGCCAGCAGATTGTCAGCGTGTCCAGGCAGAATTGACATTTCAGAGAAACAAGCAGTTCAAGAACACAATCCAATCGTACTTAAGTGGTCACTTGACAGCCAAGGAAGTGCCAGATGGGATGGTTGATGTGGCTCAAGCATTTGTTGAATTGGAGACTCGCAGAGATGCCACCAGAGTACGGGGAGTTTCAAAATTCCAAGCCTTGTTGGCCCCATCCCCGCCACAGTTTGATCGGCGGAACCACTGGATCTTCCTGGAGATGGCAGAGTGGAGCCAGAACCCTGAATTTTTCAGGTGCAAGGTGACCCAGGACTTGCAGCTGCCTTTGTTTTTCGTTGTGGCCAACCCGGAGAAACCGCCTTCACAAGTTCTTTGGGCAGCCTCTGTGCGAGGAGGTTGTGTTCTGGACCTGGCATGCATGCGGGGCATCATTGAAAACCGTCATGATAAGGCAACAACAGGAATTGCCTTCCTCTATGATGCGGCGTACGCAATCAAGCGGCAGATTTTCTTGTGCCCTAGCTTTCGTGCTGCGAACACGGAAGCCAGTGAAATTATTCAAGCAGCAGCAGGCCAGGAGAGATCGAAGTGGAAGATGATTGATGGAGGTTGGGAAGCCTTCGCTGAAGCATCTGCTAAGAGCCAGCAAGCTGGCCGCAAGTGGGCTGTGCTGGGGCTGACCATTCCGCAAATAGCTGCTAACATGCAGGAAGACAATCTCATGTCCAGCAAAACATTTCTCAAGTTTGTGAGCAGGGTTCATTGCTGCAATCGCGGCTTCTGATTTGCCTACCGGGGTAGCAGGGAAAAAGTGGCGTTGCTGCATGGCTGGACTTCCACCTGCTGTGCTGGATCAGTCGCTCAATCCTTTTCTCAGATGGAACTAACGCTTGCCCCTTAGGTGCTGCTGGCACAGTACGGATGGCTGGGTCAGGGCCCAAGGATGGAATTGCTCAACGGGGTGCTGTAAAGTCAGATGCAGTGATGGTGTCTTCAACAAAGTTAGATGCCGTGAGGGTGTCTTGAACAAAGTTAGGTGCCGTGAGGGTGTCTTGAACAAAGTTAGATGCCGTGAGGGTGTCTTGAACAAAGTTAGATGCCGTAAGGGTGTCTTGAACAAACTTAGATGCCGTAAGGGTGTCTTGAACAAACTTAGATGCCGTGAGGGTGTCTTGAACAAAGTTAGATGCCGTGAGGGTGTCTTGAACAAAGTGCAGCTGGCCTTCAGACTTATCATTAATTGGCCTTCAAATTGAAACTGTATGTGTAAAAGTTTTACAACTCTGCGGTTCTTTCATGGCAGGATTCCAAACATCAACACTGACTGTGATCATGGTTTGAGGCTGTGAAATATTGGACATCATTTCACCGCTGTAGCATCAAAGTTGTTTCCATTTGCCCAGATCTGTCAACTTTGTTATTTCACATCTGCAGCCGCTTTGGCATTCCGTCATCCCGTCCCAGCCCAGATCCTTTCTTTCTTTGGCCCAGCCATGGACTGCCCAGTCTGCAACAGGACATTGCCATCAAACATGTGGGGATCCGCGCAATGGAGAGAACGGCAGTGGTCATTGGACGGTTGGGCATGTGGATGCAAGGAGTGATGCTTGGTTTTATTTTGTTTTGTTTGGTTTTGCTTTGTTTGGTTTTGCTTTGTTTTGTTTTGTGTTTTGTTTTGTGTTTTGTCTCCGGCTTGTTTGATCCCAGGTCGGTTGAACAAGACCCCTTTACCTTCCTACAGCCTGTACCACATGAAAAGGGCAAGGAGATACATGGATCACCTCGACCGACTTGACATCTACAAGGAGACGGAAGACTTCTTTGAGATAGGTCAATTTAAAACCTATCACGGGAGTGCACATCTTGGTCAAGATGAACTTCCAGATGTTGGTCACTGTCTTTGGGCATTGGTCAAGAGAGTGACATATAGAGGTGAGCCCTTTCCAACAGCCTTCTCAGATGGAACTTTCATGGAAGGGTTCACAGCCTACACCCGTCACCGTCATCTTGTCACTGCACTGACATGGCACTTGCTCCTCGTCTTATTCTTGAGTATGTTGTCACTGCCAAAAAAATGAATTTCTATTTTGATGGCAGCCCACCCACCAACTGCAAATGTTTGATAAATTGGTTTTCTTAAGCAGCTAGACTCCAAAGGTTCCAGGCTTTGAAGTATGTGCAGATTGAGTCCCATGAGCTGGACGAATTTCGAAGGGAAGCAACTTTTGAATCCGTGGAGCTCTTTGTTTGGAAGAAGTGTGGGTGGCGGCAATTTCAATGACAGCAGCTTCTAATTTAGCGTCTGGGTAAAACCTCACTGCAACTCAATAGCAAATCAATAGCAACCTCACTGCGACCTCAATCTCATTTTCAGGTTAGTGACAAACCAACATTTACCCAGACTCAGAAGTTGAAATGGTGAGGAATCACCAGGAATTGAACAGTGGTAAATGACCATTGTCACCTGTCCATCGTCTTAAGATGTTCAAAACATTTTGGAATGGATGAACACCATCCTGAAACTTCATGGAATTGACCATCGTCTTAAGATGTTCAAAAAAAATCGGAATCGGATGAAAACCATCCTGAAACTTCGCAAACTTTATGTGAAAAAAGTGAGAAAAATGTTGCAATTGCAACTTAGCTTGTTAGCACGACTCAGTTTGCGTTTGGCCCTGTTGTGTCTCCCCCGTTGTATCTTCCCCGTCGTGGCCCTGTCGCGCCACGGAGGCCACGACCCTCCCCGGAGGCCACGCTTTCCTATTGACGCCACGACCTCAGCCGTCCATGGAATTCGGCTGATACCCTGATGGATAGCCCAAACTAGCCTTGAAATCATGGGCTTCCCCTGGAAAAAACAGCCCTTCCCATTCGGGAGATGATTCGAGAGATATTTTTCATTTTTTTCTGTTTTTCATTTTTTTCATTTTGTTTTCATCAGTATCTGATATCCGTATATTATCCAGGTCATGCTCCATACATACATAGATACATAGTACATACATATAATACATATAATTTAAATTATTTTTTCATTGTTTCATGTTCTTGTCATTATTTTTTCCTAGTTGATCAATGCTTTTCAATACGATCAACAGTTCATGATATTTTTCAACTTTCCTTTCATTTTACATGTTTTGATCATCGTTAATTTTTCATCTTCATGAATCAGTGATTCTTTCCCGGTTGGCCTGAGGTTGACTCCTGGCTCCTTGTGAACGGTCGGGTGGCTCAATCGCGACTGGCTTGTCATGATTTTTTCTGAATTATTTACATAGTTTCTGAATTACCTGGCATGTCATGGCTCATGGCTTGGTCATGATTTTTTCTGGCCCTTCCGAAGCATTTTTTGCTTGAAATCACCCAAGCCCGACTGACTCCCTCGATATCCTCGATCCCCTTCGCATCGCATCGTGACAAGCGATGGCCGCTTCGGTGCAGACCGTAAATGCGAAGCATCTGCAAGCCTTGGAGGATTGCATGAACGTGTTGCTGTCCCACCCAATCTTCGACGCGGTGCAGTCAATGCCGCCGCAGGCGATTGACAGTGCAGCGGAGCAGAACGAAGCGGGGTCACAGGCGGGATTAGCGTGTGATCTTTCATGTCTATCCAGTTTAATTTGAGTTATTGCGTGTGATCTTTCATGATAACCCATCAGATAAGGGACATGCTCGGATCGTGTGCGGATCGTGCGCGGATCGTGCACGGATCGTGCGCGGATCGTGCGCGGATCGTGCACGGATCGTGCGCGGATCGTGCACGGATCGTGCGCGGATCGTGCACGGATCGTGCGCGTCCAGGGTTGTTGAGAACCTCCAATCTCATGATGTCCACAACCCTACTGTACGAGAAGGTAGGGTAAATTTACCCTCCTTCCTCAACATACCTGTACGTACAGGGTTGTTGAGAGGTTAGGGTAATACATCCTGCCACTATATCTGACATGGTTGGGTAATTTTACCCTAAGTTCTCAGCATGGTCGTGACCTTACCTTACCCTACTCCCTCAACAACCCTGTACGTACAGGTATGTTGAGGAAGGAGGGTAGGTTTACCGTAGCCTCTGGACATTCCCCCACAATTTGGACCTAGTTCATTTTTGTGCCCTGACAAAGCCAAGTTCTCAACAACCCTGGACGCGCACGATCCGCGCACGATCCGCGCACGATCCGCGCACGATCCGCGCACGATCCGCGCACGATGCGCGCACGATCCGCGCACGATCCGCGCACGATCCGCGATGGCCATATTTTTCTGGCGCATGGTGTGCGTTTTTTTTTTGCATTTTATTTCTATGTACTTTCACATGTTAATTTATTAATAAATTAGTATGTGCTTGGAAATGCAAGTTGTATGTCTGGTGATGGTATTCCCGTCTTAAGATGTAGTCATTCAGAAGGATGCCATGATGATGTCCAAAACATCGCTTCAATGCCGTGATGGTGTCGGAAAAACCAATGGGATGCCGTGATGGTGTCCAAAACGCTTCGATGCCGTGATGGTGTCGGAAAAACCAATGGGATGCCGTGATGGTGTCCAAAACGCTTCGATGCCGTGATGGTGTCGGAAAAACCAATGGGATGCCGTGATGGTGTCGGAAAAACCAAGGGGATGCCGTGATGGTGTCCAAAACAACGCTTCGATGCTGTGATGGTGTCGGAAACACCAATGGGATGCCGTGATGGTGTCCAAAACAACGCTTCGATGCCAAGAATGCAGTAACGCCAACTTAATTATTTGACAATCAACTGGTTGTGCCCGCCTTTTGGCAGGCACCTTGGAATGACCAAGAGTATGATGCCGCGATGAAGTCAGCCAAGACCTATGTATCGCAGGGCAACCTTTTTTGGATGAATGTGAGGCAGATGTGTTCGCCGACCGTTCCCATCAATTCTGCCTCATTGAAGAAAATCCAGAAGTCTTTTTTTGAGAAAGGGCCGGAGAAGTTGACCTTGGAAATCGTGGTAGGCGTAACCTCAATGGTCACCTCTGAGCGCTTTGAGAGCCTGAAAGGTGCCTTGCAACGGATTTCGCCGGAGGAAATCGACCACGCCTTGATCATGCACGTGGCTAAGAGGATCGGAGACGGTGCCTCCCAGGAAGAGCTTCTGTGACTTGGCTATCTTCTTTTGTGCTTTGTGAATATCTGGCGCCGTGACGGTGCCTCTGAATTTTGAAGTGAAGTTGTTTGATTCTCATGATGCTGAATGGAAAAGTCTAGTTCATTCAACTCAATCTTTGATGAATCCTGACCACCATGCCAACTGAGGGCATGGCGAACAGTGTTCCTCTCAGTGAGCCTCCGCTGTGAGATGATTGAGACCAAAGAAGATGCCTTCTTCCGCTCTCTGACGTACCGACAGCGGTACATGTCCACCTACGAGAGTGCGGCGAGAAGCACCTTGCAAACCATCTTCGAGATCGCAGCGGTCAAAGCATCTTATGAGGAGACGCATACGGCCCAGCTGTCGAGATCTGATTTGGCTGATCTGTGGGTCCGAAAGAGCTGTGACCTGCCTGATGACGAAGACTGCCCAAAGACAGCTTTCGAGTTTGTCGACAGCGCCATGAAGGTCTTTGAAAGAATTCTTTCCGTGGACAAGCTCTTCGACGTGGTCTTTCGTTTGGAGCAGAAGTACGGAAAGCAAAGCTGCTTCCAGCACATGGCCGTACTTGAAGGGATTTGCATCAAGACCAAGAAGTCCGAGGATCTCCTGTGGATCTTGGAAAGCATGGAAGATCTCTTGATCCGTGGAGAATCCAACAACAAATGCTTCAGTAGCCGAACATTGAAAGGCGGCCGCACTGGAGGAGGGACCAGAGGGCTCCTGGATGAGTTCTTGGCCAAGAAGAGCATTTTTGAGTACGTGTTGGAAGAGTCACAGAAATGGGGATTGAAGCCCGCACATGCCAACGGCATCAAGAAGGTGATGATCTCTCACAGTGAAGTGCGAAAAAGGTTGTTCGGAAGAGTTCAGATTCTTTTTCTATTGACGGGTGGTTGTATTTGATTTCCTTTGCACGTTGTTGATGTTTGATTTCCTTCAATCCCTTTTTATATTTCCTTTTTTTTCCCATGTTCATCTCGCTTTGCATTGCGCAGGTTCGAGGATGGGG